TTATATACTGATCCACATGCTGATGACTTTTGATTAGGATAAACATCAATATCTCACAATTTAATTGAAATTACTTGCTTTACTAGGTCCAGCTGTTTACACTGATGCACAGTTGCTTGTATATGATAACTTTCATCTTGCATTTCAAACTAACCACAATTATATAAAAATTTCCTATTTTTTAACAATTCCAGTGACATACAGACTCCTCATTCTTTTAGATTTAAATAATGTATTGGTTTATCAGAAAGTATTAAATTTAAGTATACTGAAATATTAGTATGTTTTTCTTAGGCAAAGTAACACCAAGATGGCCACTTTATATTTCAGGGCTTGGACCTCTCCATAAGCCTCCATGAAAATCTAATCTCCACATATTATTCAGTATTGATTTTCCAAAAGTTACCTAAGATGAATAACAAAGGGGTCTCCAATGGAGACTTGATCAATTTTTCATTCTACTATAAGCCTTAAACAACTTAGCAAAAATTCTTTGACATCAGCCTTTGTTTATTCAACCTTAAATTCAAAAGGAGGCATTATAAGGGTCTTTGTAAAACCTCTGACGACATATTTTCTACCACCAATACCTATTCTATTTTCTTCTAAGTCTGTAGATGAATAAACAAGCAGTCCTTTGGAGCCAAAGGAAAAATAATATTTCTTGCACTCACAAAAGCTTGCAAAGAAAGGTAGAATTGAATGCCTGTGGCATAATCAACTAGTAAAGTACCAAGTGCAGAGTTCATAGTCGCAATTAAAATGGCTTCAAATTGAAACATGAGAGATAGAGCTAAATAATAACAGTCTGAAGAAGATCTCAAAGAACAGCTTTGTGTGTATTTGAAATTTCATAAACTAGGCCAGGGCAATTATGAGGGCTGGATCATATTTGCCCAGATCTCCAATGCAAGTATACATAATAAAGATGATGAAAGCACCTATGATTACTGGAGTATATGGCATTCATTGATACCATTAAAATATTTACGAGTGTATTTGTTTGAAAAAGGAACATAATGTGGAATCGAGCGATTATATTATATTCATTACACTAGAATATGATTCAATTGGAATAAATTACAGACAGCGAAGTAATTTCATGTTACACTATTCTATTAAATGAACAGATTGTAAACATGTATCAGATATTAATGGGGAAATACAGCACAATTAATTATATGACAGCATTTTGTAATATTAACAGGGTAGAAAGAATTCAAGGACTATATTCTTACATTGAGGAAATCGTTTATAAGCAACTAAAATATCACCAGGACTGAGATCCAATTAATCTAGTTATTCCATGGTAAAACATATGAAAATAAAAATGTGTACTTTTCAAAATAGTGTTTGGGTATCCTTGTATATTTATGTTCAAAAGTCTCGGCAAACAATGCTTGTAGAAGGTAAACAGTAGCTTATTAAATATGGCCTTGGTTAAGTAATTGCTCATTCACAGAGAACTATTCAAGAAAGACAAAAACAGATTGAGTAAATATAAAGCACAGACTTGAGGAATGATATAGAAAATAGTAAATTTGGTACATACAACAATGGTGGTTAAGTCTTGTCAATCACCAGAATTAAGCAAACCACCCCACTGAGAACCCATACAATTATAATGCCATAATTAAATATTCCTACTGAAAGTGATTAATATAATTTTTGCGCAAACAATTATGTACAAGAAGTGGTTACCTAAGATTCTTAAACCTGGTGGAATGATCTCTTAATTCAACAATATTTGAATCTATCATGAGACCAAGATTGAGAAAATGAAAGACCAATTGAAATACAGGGTTTAAACTGGCCAAAAATAACAATTAACAATTTTGCTATGATGTATGAAAATGATTAGCAAAATAGAAAAGTATAATGATAGTTAACTCATTAGCTTTTTGCTAAATTTGGATAAAAATATCCAGCTTGACTGCTAAAATTTTGTATTAAGTATTTTATATAGATTATAGGATTAGATCTGTGTGTCTATCTGTATAGGTGTCCGTGGTCTAAAGGCTTGATAGCGAGAACTTGCAGGTTCGAACCCCATTTTCATGCTACTGAAAATACACATGTTTTGTTGAGGGTTATACTTGATAATTACAATTATCACGTTCTTATTCCAGCACTGTTATCATTATTTATAATATTTGTTTATGGTGCTACACAGCACACCTA